GCCCCAGCCCTGCCCCGCCCCCCGGAAGCCTGCCTGCTCCCCTCATGACGCTGTCCTTCCCCCAGCTCCGGCGAGGCCCCCGGGGCATAGCTTCCAGACTCCTGAGGTCCACATGTTCCCTCAGGACTGTCACTCAGTGTCTTGAAACAGGCCTGTGCGACTTTAAACACCAAGACCAGAAATTCCTTGAACTCCACAGTCCCCGTGTCGTCTTCATCCAGCAGGCGCAGGACTTCATCCACAGTGGCTGGGTCATGGGGGTTCTGGGGAGAAGGCGAGGCTCGGTCAACACCCCTCCCTGAGGAGGGCATGGTTAGGCTGGTCCACTCAGCTCCCAGACTTCCCACCCTGAGCCTGGGAGCCCACCAGCTCTGTCCCATCCCCCCACCCCCCTGCGCATGGGCGTGTACCCACACGCACACACACTCACTCACACTCTGCTATAGCAGCGCTAACGTGGAATCGCTTTCGTTTTTCAGTCCTTTCTCTCCCCCTCAAGGATAGGAAGCACTTTTGTTTTGTGTCCTCTGTGTCCAGCCCACTTTTGGCCCATGGATAAAGGGTGAATGAAAAATGGATAAATGATTGCGCTCATAACGATTCTTTAGGCTGTCCTCAGCTCTGCCCTGACACTGAGGCCGTGTTCTCACCAGCTAGCCCAACACCAAGAGAAGCAGAGCAGGAACACAGCCCCAGGGGAATTGCGTGAGGTCCTCCCAGAAGCTCAGGTGGTGTTCCAAGATAGGGTGTGTGTATGGGGGGCTCAGGTGGGGCCCCAAGACCTTCCTGGCTGCTTTAGCTGCGAACCACAGGCAGGGAGAGACAGGCAGTGCACCAAGGCCCTGGGGTCTTAGAGACGGGCTCCCGGGGGGCTGTGAGCAACCTTCTCTCCAAAACCTCGTTTCTGAGGTGAGCACTTGGCCGAGAGTTTGGAGCAGCCGCTTTGTACAAGGCACAGAGCCATGCGTCTCATGGGTGCTTATTCCTGGTGACAGATTTCTGATAGAGGAAGTGGGCACCGTATCATATTTCAGGAGCAGCAAGCGTAGCTATTATTTTTATTTCTAGACTATTCAAAGGCTGTGTTCCTCCCTGAGCTGTCCCTTTAGGGTCCTTTTTCCTTGTCTCCCAATTCACTGAAGTCAAGGTATTTTCTCTACAGTCCAGGTCGGTCAGCCCCTGTGACTGTCCCCTGGCCCCTCGTTCCCTTGCCTGCACAGCCTCCATTAGGACCAGCAGGCAGCTGGGTCCTCAGATTCCGGAGGAAAAGTGTGTCTCCTGCAGGCAGACAGTTCCTCCTGTGCCCTTGGCCCGCCCCACCTGACCGGGCACATCATACCACGATGACATCGGCAAACTCGTGCTCCAGAAGCCTCTTCAGCTCGCCCCGGGTCAGCGCCGTGCAGTCACCCTCCGTCCTGGCATAGCGCCCGAAGGCTTCGATAATCCCAGTTATGTTTCGCAGTAACTGAGGCATCTTGGGAGGCAAGCTGGAGAAAGAAAAAGAGCCCCCCCGGGGGGCGCCATAATCAACCTCAGGGTCTCCCGGGAGCCCGCCTGCTTCTGGATCCTTCCTTGCGTTTTCTATGACTTCCTCCCGTTCTTATTAACGTATTTATGGGTGGCAGGCTCTTGAGTCAGCTCCACTGGTCAGGGGAGCTGGGCAGGCTGCCTTGCCTCTCTGTGCCTCAGTTTACTCATCATGAAATGAAGGCAATACTAGCATTGACTCTATAGGCTTACTCTGAAAGTTAAAAGAGATTATTCGTATAGAGCCCTTGACAGGTGCTGGCTTAACACTGAGTGCTAGCTATTAAATCTCGTTATTATATTGTTATGCACATATATAATTTGTGTACACCTATAAGTGCTCTGTGGCTCACAAAGCACTTTTATACGCACCATCTCTTGTAATCCTTATCGTCTCCACGTTTTTATAGGTGAGGACATAGGCTCGGAGAAGTGAGGCAATTTGCCCAAGGCCACATAGTTTGTAAGGGACCAAGGAATCCTAGAACCCGTATCTTCTGAGCCCAAATGCACTGACCTTCTAGACCCTGCCCTGTGGACTGTCTTTCTAGTCTATCTCTGCCTGTCACAGGGGGTTAGGTCCTGCTGGGAACACCAACAGGAAGTAAGGACGTTCTGTGAGTCAGCGGGGGCCATGCAAGAACCCAGGGGCCCAACGGGGTTCTTCCTCACTGCCTTTTAGGAAGGCCTTTAGGGAGAGGCTGGGCCACCGCCTGCTGGAAATGGCAAGGAAGGGGCGCTCTCCCTGGGTGGGAGGGCTTCCTGCTCTGAGAGTCCATGCTTCTCTGGATGTGAGTTCTGTCTGCAGCATTAAGACCTGTGCGGGAGGGAGGTCAGCCTGCCCGAGGATGTGTGGCTCCTTCATGCTCAGAGCCCTGGTGGCCTATGAGGAATGGTCCCCAACTGAAGGGAGAGATCTTCTTTCTCATCAACCTGGGGGGGCGGGTGCTGGTGGAAGTGAGCCTCAGGGAGCCCACAGGGAGGAGATGGTGTCTGAGATGGCAGGGTTCATGGAAGGCTGCAGAAACAGGGGGAGGGGCTCCGTGGAGATGGAAAGGAAGGGGTGCAGGATGAGGACATCCTGGTTAGAGAAACAAGAGAATAAAGGAAGGAAGGAGACCCCATCCTGGAGAAATCGGGACAGCAAGGCCAGAGGATTTGGGAGGTGACGGACCCCAGCTACTCTTCAGGGGTGTCCTTTGTACGATCCGGTAGCCAAAATTTTCAGGCAGACGTTGGCTTCTTGTGCACATCAAAGTACACAACTCAGAACATGGCACCTCAGCAGAGACATGAGCAGATCCTGTGTTTTTGTTTGTAAAACCAGGTGGCACACCTTAACCACTGACCTGTAAACACTAAAAATAACCCAATGAGCTTTCCTAGTTACACTTCAGATCCCTTAGAAGAAAGTCACAACTCGTCTCGCCTAAATAGTGCCCCAGGATGGAGAAGGGCTGCCATGTAAGCCCCTGGCTCCATTAGAAGAAGAGAAGTAAACTTCTCAGAGAAGTAAACTGTCTGGGTCGGCAGAAGTAACACGATTCTGGTCTCATAGACCCTGAGCACCACCTAGAAACTTCCAGGACCTTAAGCACAAGAGACCTTGGTTTTATGAGCTCAGATCAGCAGACACAGAGTGAGAAAGAGGTTCCTCGCGAAGGGGGCTTACCTAATACACAGGCAGGATGAGGCAAGCGGCTGCGAAGCGGCGTGTGCAGTGCTGGGTCAGCGGGCCGAGAGTTTTTATAGGAGATTTCAGAGGCTAGCGTTTACATAGGTCTGGCCACTCCAGCAAAGGCTTGATTCATCCAGGGCTCGGCCCAGCCCAGCCCCACCTCCCTTCTCCTGTGTCTCACCTGCTGACACATGGCTGGCGGCTGCGTTGGTCTAATTACCAGACTTTCCTGCCACATTTACTGCCCTCTCTCCATCTCTTCTCTCTTCCTGGGTCTGTCTCCTCATGACAGGGAGGCTCCTGTCCCATGTGATGGGCCCAGCGGCTTTCGGCATAGGTGGGGTTCCTGGTGAACATTCTTTGTCTCCGTGTGACTGCAGTAAAAACATTCGAGAACATACTATCTACTGAGGGTCAGCCCTTTCAAAGTGGTCACTTGGGGAGGCTCTACATGTTTTCTGGTGCTGTTACCATTACTTAGAATATTCTTGGAATTCTTCGTTTGGAATGGCCTTTCCTGCCCGGTTTCTGAGACATGCAAGGAATCCAGTCTCATTCCTTTATAGTTGGTCTCACATTTGATTAAAACAAAGAAGGGTAACACCCCGCGCCCCATCCTTTGGGTTAGGCAGCATTTTACAGTTGGTAGGAGAAGTTTAAGATGAATATGTGCCACCCGCACTGCACAGACAGGGAGCTCAGCTGGTCGACTAACCAGCAAATATTTACAGAGAGCCTGCTCTGTTCGCGACACAGGGCTGAGGCCTGACAGATATGGCAGCAGCCTTAGTTCTCACAAGGGTTTGGGCCTGGCAGTCCCGGGGGAAGTCCCTGAGAAGGTAACAGTCATGATTGTCACCATTGGATTTGACTTGATGTCACTGCCCTCTCATTCCGCCAGACGCTCATGGCAGCCCTGTGAGGTGGCTGGCATGGCTAAGCCCCATTTCTAAGCGAGGACACTGAGAAATCCTCAGAGAGGTGGCCGCGCTGTGAAGAAGGGATGGGGTTGGGCCAGAACCCCTCAGCCTCGGGCCACAGTCCCCTCCATTACAAAGTGCTGCCGCTTTTTCTCCCCAACCCATGACTTCTGGCACTTTACAGACATCAATTCATCCTCATGGAAGAAGGACTATCATCCTTGAGGATGCTGAGAACATAGCACCCTGAGCTCCGAAGACAAGTCCCAAAGGGAGTGTTGTTGCAAAAGCCACACCATTGCAGAAAGTTCCAGCAGCTGATCGAGTGGCTCTTTGGATGGGAGGCGTCTTCAGGCGTCTTTGCAGTCCTCACCCACCCGTCCATCAGCCAGCGGGCAGCAGTAACTGTCATGCAAGTGCAAACAATGGATTGGTGTTTTAAGATTTAAGGCCAGCCTTTGTGGAATAATTAAATTCTGTTTGCACTTAGAACTTCCAGAAAGGTTTGGGAACTAAGGGAAAGTAAGTTAGGGAAGCAACAAGCCAGGTGCTTTATCTGTGAGGTAACTAGGAGGTAGGAGTCAGTACATCCAATATACAGATGAAGAAACTGAGGTACAGACAGGTTAAGTAAATTACCCAAGGCCACATACCTAGACCTGAATTTGAACTTAGGTCTGCCTGGTTCCTGTGCCTGGGGGGCAGGACCGAGCCTGGGGATGGGTGAGGTGCTGTGGGTCTGTAACAGCAGAGGTGAATGGGGGGAGGGGGGTCTGTGTGGGTGGGGCCAGGGAGATGAGGTGGGAGAGATTGGGACTCTCAGCCTCTAGTTGAGTGTGTAAATTTGTTAGCTTGCGTTGCTACGAATGAGTGACTTGACTTAGTAGTCACATCTCAAGGGCGATCCGGAGGGCAGGGAGAGGCCCGGGACCCTGTCAGTAGCTGAGTCAAACTCTTACCCTCTGCTCATTCCGCCGCAGAGTACACGGAAACATCTCAGAAACAAACTCATTTTTGCACCTTGATTTCTTCTTACACACTTACTCAGAAAGTCACTGCTGACCTCCCGTTGATTGATTTCTACAAATACCTAACTGCTGTGGTGGGCTACAAACAAACAACAAGGCGGTGCTTTCCAGGAAACCAGTCTAACCGGGAGAGCAGGACACGCACAGCAAAAATAATTATCTAATCATGGAAGATAGAATTCCGTGAAATGTTAAATGAAACAGGCTGCTCACTAGACACCTTCACCCCTACCCAGGAGCACAGAATGGGGCTGGCAGTGGGGAGTGATTAGAAAGTGGCCGTTCAGGTCTCATCCCGAAAAGCAGAAGATGGGGAAATTCCATAATCCTGGGATTCTCGCTTAGAAAAGAACAAAAACGAGTCTGAAAGCCAGATTGCTGTGCCTGGAATTCCTTGAGCGACGAGAGAATGTCCTGTCCACTCACAGCCCACACATCCTGATGGAGGGACTGGGGACAGGCACAGCTTTAAGAGACAAAAGAACAGGACTGTTCTGGGCCCCCTTATCTTCTCTGTGCCCTCTGGGAGCCTCTTCTCCCAAACCCACCTACCTAGGCTCATGTTCAGCCCCGGAAATGCCAGGAAGGATTAGGCAGACAGCGGAGACCTCCCTGCTGGCACATTTTCAGTGATTTAGTGACTATCTATGAGGCATTCTGAGCCTAATCCCCAACCCAACAGGTTCTGTTCGCCCCGCTGTTTCTCCAACTCCTGACCCAGGCAGGCAGCACATGGTGAACAGATTAGTAACATCCCTCGGGAGTCTGCTGTGGGTGCATCGTTTACAGCTTTTATTTCAATCTATCGTCGTTCTCATTGCCTGTCCACTTGCTCAGTCATCCTTTCTTGATTGCACCCTGCTCTGAAGACAGCGCTGGTTTGTAGGAAATGTGTGATGACTTCTTCAGGGGGACATAGTATGCCCTGAAACCAGGAGTGCTGGGTCACGTGTCCCCTCACCGTGCCTGGCCCCATATTCCATCCCACTGGAGTTACTGGGCTTCAGCCTGTGCTCACGGGGAGACAATGGGATCGCTCGGCATCCACGGCTGGGTGTGATGGGGTGGGGGGGTCCCCCGACCAAAGTGGGTGAAGCCCCACTGGAATCCTAGTCTACACGGACTGGATTTGCGCTGGTGCCCCTACAAACCTGCCTGAGCTGGTCTCCACTAGGCTTGGCCTGCTGGTAACTATTTCCTCATTCATTGATCAAAGCACCTGCCCCTCCCAGGGAGAAAGCTAGGATTAAGGGATGATGACAGGGTGTTGCGAGCCCACTGAATGACACAGGAACACCGAGGGTGTGCAGAGGTGAAAGCCACTGACAGGGAGTACGTGTGGGGCTTGGAACATAGTCCTTCTTCAGCAGGAGGGCCAACCACGTCATCCTGGGGCCCCTGGCTGTTGGTAAATGTGCACACCCGTCACCTGGGGGCCCCTGGCTATTGGTAGATGTACACACTCATTACCTTCAGAGCCCTTGATGTTAGAATGACTAGAAGGCACACAGGCAGGGTTCTCAGCCTCAGAGGTGGAGCGAGACCAACACAGCTTCACCGCTTCCCTGGGTCGTGGCCTTGAGTAAGTCCCTAACCCCTGAGAGCCTCCTTCCGTCGTCGGTAAAATAGTGACGAGCACTGCTTACGCCACAAGGTTATTATGAGGTTAAACATACTCACTGGGTGTGAAGGTGGCGACCACCGAGACGTGCTAAGAGCATATTATTATTATTATTATTATTATTATTATTGTTGTTGTCATTGTTTAAAGTGGCAGCAGGGAGTAGTCATTCTGCACACAGAGAAGAGGAGTGTACACAAAATTAACATTCAGATGGATCGTTCATTCTGTCTTTTAGAAAAACACGGATCTATAAATCATGAACAACAGACACACACGGAAGAAATCTAAAAATAGAAATTAGAAAAACACAGTGGGTGATTCTTCACTGGCAAAGTATGTTTATTTCCCTACAGAGGGATTTCCCACAGACTTCCTTCAATTACCTTTGTATCCGTTTATATACCACTAACTCTTGTAAAACAAATGAAGGCAGAGCTCATGTTAGGAGCCATGATGTGCAGGTCAAGCCAAAGTGAAGCTGTAGTTATCTATGAGCCGGATGGAAATACTGTTCAATTTCTGCAGCCTTTGTGGTGCTGGTCACCCTGTGCTCCCACTCGAGCACTAAGCACCTGCTCTCACTCTCTGGGTCCCAAACTGAAAATCTCTGATGCTTGGTGGCCTTCGCAACCCTTGTAAGGGTTCCCTGAATCCACATGCCTGCCAACCACTGCAGCGTAGAGAATCAAAGGATACATATCAGGCACGTGCGTGTGCTTTTCTTTCCCTTTTCAGATATGCGCTAATGAAGTGGCAGCCCGGGTCACGGCAGAGGTCACCTTTCTCACGCACACCATCGTGGGCCTGGCTACCGGGTCTGAGTCCCCGACCATCAAGGGGAGCTGGTCCCAGGCAGGACCTGGAAGGCTGGGTGGCGGCAGTGGGTGGCTCCAGGGGGCATTCACAGAAGCCCAGGGCCACCAGCGAAACGTTCATGTAGGACTTAGGCATCCACTTCCGGTGAAATGGACACCGGAAGACAGAGCTGAGGAGGTGGGAGTGAATCTGTCAGGTCTGGAGGACACCCTGCCGGTGCAATCAGTCAGCTCCTTTACTGATGGCGGAGCTGAGGCCGAGCTTTTCGTCTCAGCAGCTACTGGCTGGGCCCCAGCTGTGTGTCAGCCGCTGTGCTAAGGAGGCTTCCCTGATAACTTCTCACAAACGCCTTGAAAGGGCCCTCTCCCTCCTCCTCCCCAGGAGCCACCTGAGTTTCAAAGAGGTGAAATGACATGTCCAAAGTCACCCAGCCTGGGGTGGAGACAGGAGCTGTGCGTTTGTGTTCCTGGCTCGGTGGGCCTCTGACTGTACACATTTGGTACGTGGTGGGTTGGGAGGAGAGTGGGGACCATGAAGGCCCATCGGTGATGAGGTAAGTTTTTGCCAGCAGGCAGGCCCCTTTCCCGGCCCCCTGAGCTGCGTGAGAACAAGGACTTAGGTGGAAGGTCACACTGAGGAATATTGGCGTGTGTCAGGTGGCCCCAGCGGA